CTTTGGAAGTTGAGGAGTTGCCCATAAAAAGTTGTTCACCATTGTCCACTATAGAATAAGATGTGAACATCTTTTTGTCGGCACAAATATGGCGAGTAGCACCAGTGTCCACCCACCATTCTTTAGGATTTCCGACAAGATTTGCCTCGAAAACAACTGCAGAAAGATTTATGACATCTACACCATTGGAAATTATATCCATTTCGGTTATATCGACTTTAGTAACCTTCTTACTTATTCTTCCTTTGCCTTTGCAAAAATCAGTTCTTAAGAACTTCTCTGGCTTTTCACCGTGATTTACCGGTACTGTTACAACAGGAGAGGGGGTTAGCGTCATTGCAGCTACCACAGTAGTACTTGTTTGGGCATTTGTTTCAGTAGCCATCAATTCTAATATATAAAACAAATTTATAATTAGAATTTTCACTGCACAGAAAATTAAACCAAATTCACAGAATTAAATTTTTGTAAAATAAAAGAAACAAGAATATAACTTTTATTTTTTCAATTAATTTGGAAATAAAATAAAATTTTATTCAACCAAATTAATTCCACACAGAAAATTAATTTCTATAGCACTTCAATAATTAAAATACTAAAACAGAATTTTAAGTAATGAAAACTCAGAAAATAATTTCTAAAACCCAAAATTAATTTCTGAAAAATTCCACAAAAATATATTCTGAATTGTTAATGACACCAGTATCGTACTACTAGTTGTTGTCAAAGAAAAGAGACAATATATTACTACTATCTGTCAAATAGCATATAATCACTATTTATTTTTCCAATCAGAATATTATTTTGTAAATCCATAGAAAATAATTTTCTTCCGAAATTATTTACGAAGAAAGAAAAAAAAGAAACAAACGAAAAATTCTGTAAACAGAATAATTCGAATCTGTCTTAAGATTGTTGGATCAATCTTCTGTGTAAAAAAATAACTTGAAATAAAATCAAACAAAATAAATAAATAACATACCAGATTTATTTATCGAAACGAGTTAAAATTAAGACCAAGTCGAGTGTGTGACACTCTGTCCTTAAGACAGATTCGCCCCTCTACGGTGCTTACGGTTGAGTGGCGTCTATCTCCTAAGATACAATGATCTTCACAAATTTGTAGAAGCACTTCAAACAAATTTGTCTGGCGAACTAGAACCTTGTGTTCTATAACTCTCTGAAATTTATTCCTAATATTTTATATGAAGAATAATGCACTAAAAGAAAATGGACAGCAAAGAGACAAGAATTTCAGATTGAATTTTTTGAATGAATCAAAATTGGAATGGGGCTGCCTTTATATAGGCTTTGTTGGCACCTATTCAATTTGAATAGAAAAGGTATGAAGAAGGGACATATCTATTCCTTTAAAACAAAGAGACACCATAAAAGGTTTGCACCCTTTCATTCAAATAGAGGTTTGACTATTCTTTTAAAACAAAAATACACCATGAAAGGTTACACCCTTTCATTCAAAATGGAGTCTATTTCAATTCACAACTACCTCTTTATAAATTTTCCAACAGTGAGCACAACGGCGGTGAGCTACCCGGCGGTGTGTGGCCGGAATACCGCTCCGACGATCAAGTTAGACACACACAGAGACGGAGAGAGAGAGAGGATTGAGTGTTTAGTGTAAATCTCACCAAATGTTCATCTGCCTCAGCGTGGGGCACTACAACAAAAAGCATTTTTGGCGACGTTTTTTAGCAACCAAATTGAATTTAGTTGCCAATTGTATGTTTTTGGCGACAATATACGTGTTGGTCGCCAAAAAACACACCATTAGCAACAAATATCTCAATTCGTCGCCAAAAATGGTTGGCGCCAATTTAATTTTTTGCCCGGGAGCGCTAAAAATGTTTTGGCGACAAAATTAATATATGGCGATGAAAATATTTGTCGCCAATTTAGATTTTTTGGCGACGAAATTAAAATAGTCGCTGAAAGGTGAATGATATTTATAGCAACATAATGATTTTCGTCGCCAATAAATTTCTTGTCAAAACGACGTCGTTTTTAATCTGTCTTTTTTTTTTTTTTAATGACCGAATAAACAAGATTGACCTAAAATGAGTCTTCTTCGTCTTCTCATTCCACAACCTGAAGCGGCACAACAGAAGACAAAGAGGTATGTCTTCTCTCCCTCTTCTTCGTTTCTCTTTCTCTTTCCCTCTCTCTCATTGCAACGCCTCTGTCTCTCTGTCTTCAGCGTCCCTCTCCCTCTCCCTCTCCCTCTCCCTCTCCTTCTCCCTCTCACTCTCACTCTCTCACACTGTCTCATCTTCCTCTCTTTCTTCTTTATCATCAATTTCATTCTCTTGTTCGGCATTGCAGAACACAACACAATCAATGGGACTGATTTTTCCCTCACACTCTCACACTCTCTCATCTTCCTCTTTTTCTTCTTTGTCATCAATCTAATTTTTCGGACTAATATTCTGATTTTTCAGACTGATATTGTGATTTTCGGACTGATATATTCTAATTTTCGGACTGATTTTGGAGCTGATTTTGTATTTTTTGGGAACTGATTATAATTTTGGGTATGGATCATCTGGTTTAGGAGGGTATAATAGTTTCAGGCTCTGAATCTAAATTGTGAGCTGGTTTCTTTTAGTCACTACTAGTGTATTGGGATATAAATATTTTGGCATTTTGTCTTGTCAACATAAGCCAAACCCAATTTGTAATGCGTATGTAATGTGTTTGATGTTATTATTCAACCACGTTGTGTCGTAACCCTAATGAATCGTTGAGTTATAACTGGAAATTGCGATCAATGTGGTTAGTGTGTGGTAATGATTAGTTTGTTTTGGTTTTGTTTGGTGTAGGCAGGGGTGGACTTGGTGGCAGAGTTGGTGGGAGTGACATTGGGTCCAAAGGGTAGGAATGTGGTGTTGCAAAACAAGTATGGACCTACAAACATTGTCAATGATGGTGAAACTATTCTCAAAGAGGTAACTCATAATTTTGCAGGCATGGATTGCCCTTCATTTCTCTTTATCCCTGGTGTAAAAATTGGTTACAGTTTTTAATTATTATCGGACTTTTGGTGATTCAAATCTTGAAGATAGTGGTTCTAACTTCTACATATGACAAAGAATTAGTTGCCATTCCAATTATGAGTGGTGTTAGCTTTTGAACAATGAAGATTGATGGTGTGTTTTATAGCCTGCTTGTTTTTCAATTTATACTAAACTTCCCCTTCATTTGTAGGAAAACCCTTATATGTTACCTTTAATATTTGTAAGTTCTCAAGTATTAAAATTTTTGATTAATTTCAGCTCAAACTTTGGTATTTCAAAGTTATCTTTAAGTTTGTAAAGGAAACTTTTGGGTTCTTGGTATTTTGCTTCTGTTGGGGGCCTGGATCAACCCCAGAATATGTTCGAAGAAATGCTAAAGAAAACTTGTTCTAATATAAGAGACCAAGATAGTATATATCGAGCTTGCTATTTGAGTTATTTGAGTTTTTTTACATATAGCTTATATATAATGTTAATTCAAAATTGTGCCAAAAAGCTTACTTTTTGTCATGTTTTCCGATGTGAGTTCAAATCTATGAAAATTATTTTTATTTTACATAACAGGAAAAAACTTTGTATTCATCTTAATGTTTTCATTAAAATTTATGAATAGGTTCTCCATCTTATTTGAACTGTGTGGTTTACACTTAAGAAGAGCAGTAACACATGCTTTGATGGTGTTAGAAATATTTAAAAGCCATGGGTTTAGAAATCCTCAACCACATGAGAAGAAAGTAACGCCGCATCAAGCCTTCTCCTTTTAAATGGCTTTAATTTGCCTTAATTAATCAGATAGAGCCGGAAGACCCTTTGGAAAATGTTGGAGTGAAATTAGTAAGACAGGCTGGAGCTAAGACAAATGATATTGCTGGTGATGGTTCGACAACGTCAATAGTGCTCGCTCAAGGCCTAATCTTTGAAGGTGTGAAGGTATGACTGGGATGCCATTATATTATGAGTTGTATATCTCTCCCATTAGAACAATAAAATTACTTGTTTTTCATACAAATTGTTGTTGCAATGCAGGCTATATGTTAGATTATTAGTGTTAGTTGCATTTCCAAGTTACTCTTTCTATCTTTTATTTTATTTGTTTTATTTTTTTTTTCAATTATAGGGTTTGTATGGTTGTTTCTGGAAGTTTTAAAAGACATGAATGTTGCTATTTCTCTCCACACAAGCTTTGTGTTATCTGCTATTTCTCAAAGATTTCTATTCTCTAGGTTATTGCAGCAGGCATGAATCCCATTCAGCTATCCCAAGGAATCGAGAAAACTGCAAAGGCCCTTGTTTCTGAGCTCAAACAGATGTCCAGAGAGGTATACAGTAATTCCATTCTTCTTTTAGTTCCCTGGGAAAGACTAATGAATTGGGTAGAAAGAGAATTATGGCAAAGCAAAATATAAGTAGACATTTATGCTCCGTTTGTTTAGGCGGGACTTGGGCTTGTTTTTCATTGACAATGGAAAACATTTTCTTTGAACTTTGGTTTTTCATTGTACCAAATGCCAAAAAATGCAGAAAATGTTTTCTACTTTTAGAAGGTGAAAAACGTTTTCTGGACTAAAGAGTTATCAATGTCACCACACTAACAACTCCACCACCACTGCCACCCCACCACCTATGCCCTAAAAAGTTTCTGTAGAATTTTTTTTTTGTTGAAAAATGTATTCTGCCGAAATAAATGGAGCATTACTCAGTAGTTCATGCACTCGTGCTTGCCAAAATCAACTGAAAATATTGACTATATTGCAGGTTGAGGACCACGAGCTTGCAGATGTTGCTGCTGTAAGCGCAGGGAACGATTATGCAGTAGGAAACATGATTTCTGATGCTCTTCGACAAGTGGGAATGAAGGGAGTAGTAACAATTGAGAAAGGGAATTATGCAGAGAATGCTTTACAGATTGTAGACGGAATGCAATTTGATCGTGGATACTTGTCCCCTTATTTTGTTACTGATAGACGGAAGATGATAGTGGAGTTCCACAATTGCCAGGTAGGGCTGTTAACACTTTGTCAAGCATAGCATTTGCAGCATTGTCCCGCGGGAAGTATTCACAAGGTGCTTTGGTTGCAGTTACTTCTGGTCGATAGAAAAATCACAAACCCAAAGGTAGTTGATGACATCGCTATCTTGACTGGAGGTAGTTGATTAACCACTAAAATACACCACAATTTGTGTATTTGAAGTAAATAATGTCTATAATAAATCAAAACAGAACATTATTATAGCAGAAATACATTAATATACACTAGTTGGTGTTTTATATTATCTGAAGGCACAAACTAGGACTGACTATAATGATGATTGAGGTGTTGATAATGATGATATCATGGGAAAAGTGGCTAGAAAATTTGAATTTAGCTAGTTTTAAATCCTAAAATTGACTTTGCATCCATAACAAGGTAAATTTGGTCAAATTGTGGGTATATTTGTTAAAATTCCTCACATATTCATGTTATGAGCTCATGTCTCGCAGGAACTGTAATTAGGGATGACATGGGTTTGACCCCAGAGAAGGCTGGAAAGGAGGTATTGGGTACTGCTACCAAGGTGGTGATAACTAAGGATTCTACATTGATAGTAACTGATGGGAACACTCAAGCGGCTGTTAAGAAGAGAGCCTTTCAGATCCAAAAGCTTGTTGAGGAGCATAGAATATTTTCTGAAATGTTATCCATGCAGTTTGATCGCTTTTTTTTCTTTTTTTCTTTTTTTAATTTAAAAAAAAATTCCCAAGAGTTTTAGTTGGAGCATCAATTGTGACATGAAAGAACATAAATGCATAGTACACAAAAGTAACCACATTGACTTAAAAGGCCCGTTCAGGGGCCGAAATTGTGAAATGACCACCAAAACTACCGAAACTTGGCACGGATAGCTTGTTCAAGCCTAAATAGACTTGTAGGAACAAACGGGACCTCGATTGGATCTCCAGTTAGAAAATTAGAAGGAAAATTGTAAAACACAATACTTAAAAGGCCCGTTCGGGGGCCGAAATTGTGAAATGACCACCAAAACTACCGAAACTTGGCACGGATAGCTTGTTCAAGCCTAAATAGACTTGTAGGAACAAACGGGACCTCGATTGTAAAATACAAGACTTAAAAGGCCTGTTCGGGGGCCGAAATTGCGAAATGACCACCGGAACCACCAAAACTTGGCATGGACGGATTTTTCAACCCCAAATAGACTTGTAGGAATAAACGGGACTTCGATTGGATTTTCGGTTAAAAAATTAGAAGGAAAAATGTAAAACACAAGACTTAAAAAGCCCGTAAGGGGGCCGAAATTGTGAAATGACAACC